AGAGTGATTCTTAAGCAAAGTTTATAATATATTACATGCACATTGCACTCGTGCGAAGCTGGGGCGGGTCGCTAGAAGGCTATAAAACATCATGCTACAATACTACGCCGTCAGTCCATCACTCCATTAATAGTGCAATAATGTCCCGTTAAACATTAGAGTACAAATCTCAATTTTTTAAAACCTAGACTAGATTTTTACCAGATGAATACCCTTGCGAGCAGAGAAACGTAGCCACTTAGTATTTTTGTCATTTTATCGAACCGTCTATCAATACATAGTATAAAACAAAGTCGCTTTCGCTGTATGTCCGTATGTATGCTTAGATCTTTAAAACTACGCGACGGATTTTGATGCGGTTTTTTTTAGTAGATAGAGTGATTCTTAAGGAAGGTTTGTATGTATATACATATTGCACCCGTGCAAAGCCGGGGCGGGTCGCTAGTTACTTATAAAACAATTATTCGTTTTGCAACATGCTCTTATTTTAAACTGTCAAACACCAAGCGGTCACCGGTGACCGCAACCTATTGTTCTATAATTGTGTCTACAAAACCGGTACTCGACGAGTTAAATATAACTTGTATACGATATACATAACATAACATCACGCCTTTTATCCCCGAAGGGGTAGACAGAGATACACATTATACCGCTGTACAATGTAACACCCACTTTTCACTATTTATGTTATGAGTCCCATGTAATAGGTGGTGAGCCTATTGCCATACACCGGGCACAATTCCAGACTCCGTACTACTACTGAGAATATTTAAAAAACCCAGTAATATTTTGCCCGATCCGGGAATCGAACCCGAGACCCCTTGCCCGGCAGTCGCACTTACGACCACTCGGCCAACGAGGCAGTATACGATATACGTAACCTATTAATAAAGTCGCGGAGAAACTAACGGGTAACCGGGGCTCCGGCTCGACGTGCAGGAGAAGGAACGGGGTGGTTTTTAGTCAGTAAGAGTCTGACACTCCCTTCCGCCTCACCCAGGCGGGAGCAGTCATACGATGATTTTCCCCCCTTAAAAAAAAAACCAATTAATAAAATACTTGTATTAGAAGATATTTATCAAGGAATGAACAAGAAAGAAGTGGCTCCCTTTCTATGCACTGAGTGTACTATCAATGTACTAGATTTCGAACTAGGTCGGGTGACCTAGTTTTCGAACTGACCTTGTGTTTAAAAGTGGAGTTGCAGTTTTTGGTGTATTTTAAAACATGTCTATAAATAGCCTCGAGTGATTGTCGAGTTGGTCCAGTTGGGGAAAGTGCGACTGTCGATCTAGGGGGTTCGTGTTGGATTCTTGGCTTGGCTAAAGTAGTACTGGGGGTTTCTTCAGGTTTTTGATAACTTTAAACTGTCAAACACCAAGCGGTCACCGGTGACCGCAACCTATTGTTCTATAATTGTGTCTATAATGACGGTACTCGACGAGTTAAATTGGGTGTCGTATCCGAGGTTTCAAAGATGGTTGTCTGATGGTTCTGTCAGAAGGTAAATCCAAGATGACACAACCCTCAAATTCCCGATTTCCAAAAGGCTGGTATCGCACTTGTAATTGTAACGCCTCTGGTGTTCCAGGTGTCTACGGGCGACGCCGGTTGCTTACTATCAGGTGATCCGTCCGCTCGTTTACCGACTTATCCCGTAAAAAATACATCTTCACAAACCTTCGTATTTCTAATATTAATATAGATACCTGACCTCGCCTAACCCCAATTAAATTGTAGGTCACTTAGGGCATGTAACTTAGAAACCTTTACTCTTAGTTAATTCAATTATAAGTTGAACTTAACGCATGGTTAAGTTTTTAAAGTCATTTAGAGATGATAGTCTACTCGTCTCTCCTAGCGGCTCCACCCTCGTCCTCGTAGGATAAAAAGTAGCCTATGTGTTAGTCCAGACCATGATCTACCCCTGTTCCGAATTTCATCCTGATCCCTTCAGCTGTTTTGGTGTTATTGAGTAAAAAACATACACTCAAACTTGAATCATTAAAATGAACTGCCTATAAGTGCCCACTACTGACCGAAGGCCACTCCTCACACGGAGAACGTTTGAGCACTAATCGCCACGTGCCTTGGCCTAGTAGTCGCAAGTACGATTGCGGGCCAAGGGGTCTGAGTTCGATTCCCAGATCGGGCAAATTATTACTGGGTTTTAAAAAAATTCTCAGTCAGCACGGAGTCTGGAATTGTGCCCAATATATGGCAATAGGCTCACCCCCTATTACATGGGACTCATAACATAAATAGTGAAAAGTGGGTGTTACCTACCCCTTCGGGGATAATAGGCGTGATGTTATGATGATTCGATGAATTAGAAATTATAAGCCCAGGTTTCCTCACGATGTTTTCCTTCATCGTTTGTCAGTGGTGTCTAGATAATCTTAGAAAGTACATATAACTCGGAAAAAGTCATATTGGTACTTGGCGTTGGTAGGTTCCGAACCCGCACGACCCTCATGCATGAGAAGCGGTCTTAGACCTCCGAGCCACTGCTATTGTGTGTACTGCTATGAAGTGGAATTCTTTGCCAGAGTCTGTATTTCTTGAAGGGTATAAAACTTAGGCAAAGGTTTTAGTACATATATTAATTAACTGACTTCATAAATAATAGAGTGGATTGAAGTCGGGTTTTTCAATGTAGTTTATGAAGGAATTATGTTATTATAAGAAGTCGAAATCTTACCCGATAAAGTCAAAGTCAGAATCATTTATTTCAATTAGGCCAGAATGGCACTTTTGAACGTCAAAAAAAATATTAAAAGTGAAGCTATTTGCTCATTCCAAGGTGTAGATTCGTATGGAGAAGAACGAGCAAGAAACTCCATAGGTTACTCTTTTTCAATCAGGTTCACAATACAATTTTCTAGTTACATAGTTTTGCTGTTTGGATTGTGCGAGAACAATGTAACACTAAAATCCAGTCAAAGTGATCAAAAAAGAAAATAACCTTAAGGACAATAATACAGTCTGGAGCTGACCAGTCCCAGTTGACGGCGCCCGTTCACGAACATGACACATAGCAATGGCTCCTTATATACACAATTATCCACATTTTTAAAAACTCGGACCCATTTTTGCAAATTTCTTTAGTGAATAATATTTAATTAGCCTTTACATAGTCGTATAAATGGTTCCTTTTTCCAAAAAGGGACAATGTCTATTGTATGCGACGTTTTTGTCTAAATTCTCGGACCTTAAGGTAAGTATGTTATGGTAAATAAGAAAAGTACCTGCAAAGGTTTTTATGATGACAAATTGAAATGTAGCTTAAAACTTTAACAATACAGCTTTAATTAGAACAATTGTGTTTGATAATGGAGTTTCTTGTTCGTTCTTCTCCATAGGAGTTTCTTCTCCACATTTTGGACTTAGCTAACTTCACTGACGTAAGTACTATTCTATTTTGAAGTTCCAAATGTCCAAGTGTAAGTAGATGAATATATAATTTTTTTATAGAATAGGAGGCAAACGAGCAGACGGATCACCTGATGGTAAGCAATCGGCGTCGCCCATGGACACCCGCAACATAAGAGGCGTTACAAGTGCGTTACCGGCCTTTTGGGCATTAGGAGTTGAAGATCGTTGGGATTCAGGGATTGGGAAACGGAAGGGCGTTTTTGGACCTTCGGTAACCTCACTCACACGACGAAACACTACGCAAGCGGTGCTTCACGTCGGTTATCTGTGAGGCCGTGGTATCACTCCGGTCGAGCCGGCCCATGTTAATTTCACAATGTAAGTACTTAATACCACATTGTTTAAAATTAACCCAGAACGCCTCTGGTATTCCAGGTGTCCATGCGCGACGCCGATTGCTTACCATCAGGTGGTCCGTCTGCTCGTTTACCGGCCGATACCATAAAAAAACACATGGGACTTCATACCTTAAAAGTGTAACTAAAAAAGTTAAACCTCATTCCTTCCACCTCCATGGATTAACAAACTTAATGTTATGTATGACAAAGTTAACCAAGTTATATATATTTGCATAGATCTTGATTTCGAAAGTGGTTTCCGTTTTAAAGACAACCGGTTTGACTAATGTTTGTGTACACAAAGAGGTTCTGGTTTTTTTTGATAGAAACTCTAATATGGGTGTGTCTGTGTGTGTTCAGGTTCTTATTATTCACCACGACCTACAACTGCCCCTAGGTCTATCAGACAATGCTGCTGATCTATCTGTCATTATGTATGAAGAAGATATATAATAGGGATGATGACAGGGTATGAAAATTAAAAATGTAATTAGTCTGTCAGTTAGGTAATGAAAAATATTAGACACGTATTTTTTTATTTTGTTGTATAATAAAATGATACTTAGATATAACGAATCAAAGTTTAGGAGTGGGGGCTAAAACGTCATTTCTACGTATAAAATGTACATAGAAGTGACGTCATGCGACATTTCAAATCAATATATCGTCGAAAGTATTCGTTTCTGTAAGAAAATAAAAAATACGTGTCTAATGATTTAAAATAATCTACCAGACGGACATTAAAATAAAAATTAGTCATCTACCCTATTAAATGATAACGTCATATTTATACACTACTTACCATCTCGGAAAATGAAGCTTGAAGTTACGCCTGTCATATATGCTTTGATAAATAACTTTGCTAAAGTACCCTAACATCATATTTAGATAATTTAAAAACTTTTTTAAAAACAGCCTTTATTTTAGCAAAATATTTTCAATAAGTACTTTCTCTATTTATGTACTTACTCTGTAAATATTTAAAAATACTCTAATATTAAAAAAGTTTCATTTTACAACCCAATAAAAACTGTAATAGTCCTCTCAATACAAAACCATCTGATTTCATTCACAAGGTTTTTGACCGGTCTTTGTCCGCGTTGATTGGGCGCAAAAATCTTTTTCAAAAGTGCATAGACCCGAACTCCACCCCTCCCCACCCGTCTAGACAACCTGTAGGTAGTCGAAAAAAAAAATGCCACAATATTTATCAGTTTGCATCGAGACGCCGAGGTGTGCGAACGTGTGACGCTCTTTCGATATTTGAAACTTTTTACGTATACGCGTGGTCTGTGATAGTTAGTGATATTTGTATCGTCATTTTGTGATCGTTTTCTTTAATTATAATCTGTGATAGTTAAATTTAAGTGATGTTTTGTTTGTTTAGTGCCAGTAAGTATAATTTTGGTAACTTTTCTATTTACAGGGTGTTCGATAATAACTATTTAATGAATGTAATAATAATTTTGAAAGTAATTGATTTGTTTAAACTTTAGTCATAAATCAATTTAGCGTTGATGTTAATGCACGTGGTATTAACATTAAAATGTGATTATGGCATTTAATGGCCTGATTTTAAGAAACATTTTAGAATGAAGTCTTAAATTATTTTCTTTGTGATGTGGACAAATAACCACGTGGCTTCAATAGCAATGTAAACAAAATGAAATCGTTTGTTTGTTTACTTCGTGAGAATCTCGAGAACTATCATCGAAGTTATTTTAACAATTGAAGCTTTTAATTTAAGCTCCGAACTTCAGGCATTTGTAATTAATTACAAGGTAGACATATGACTTGATAAAGGTCTGTGATAGTCGCTGTATGCAGGTCGCTTCCAACCTCGCGATGTGCAGTCATTGGGAGAGGACTGTGGGGGGCAGTGGACAGCACGTGGCTGTACGCATTATGATGATCATGGCTTACTGTTATAAAGGCATTAAGATGTAACTGTAGAAAATTACATTTGTAAGTTGCAATATATAAAGAAAGTTTATTGAACAATCCTTACTATATATCCTTCCTAATATTATAAATCGGAAAGTCAGTTGGTTTGTTTGTTCTGTTTTCACGCCGTAACTACTAAACTGATTGCTTTGATTTTTTGCAGACGTAAAGTTAAAAGTCCGGATTAAATAATAGGATACTTTTTATCACGGAAAAAATTGATATTTCCGAGGGAAATAAAAGTATTGGTATAGATGGCGCTGTGTGTATTGGTATACCTATGTCACATAGGCTACTTTTTATCATTTGTGACGCGAGCGAAGCCGCGGGTAAAAGCTAGTAAAGCAATAAATGCTTTGTTGTCTTTCTCTAAAGGTAGTGGACCGTTTTCAATGCGAATTTTTTGTTGGTGATCTTGTTTGTTTTATTTCTAGTTTTTTTTGTTGGTATTTACTATTCGTACTTATGTTAGTGAGTCAGCAGTTATTTGCTTTGTTGGCTTCTTTATGTTATATTTGTATTTCTTGAGGGGGTGGGCAGAGGTGTCCCTATTCGTCTGTAATGTAAATATGGACTTATTGATATTTCGTTTTAATTTATTGTGATATTAAACTGTCAAACACCAAGCGGTCACCGGTGACCGCAACCTATTGTTCTATAATTGTGTCTACAAAACCGGTACTCGACGAGTTAAATATCTTTATAATTGAGGGTATATCTATTGAAAGTCAAAGTCAAAATCGTTTATTTCAATTAGACTAGGAAGGCACTTTTGAACGTCAAAATAGGTGTTGAATAAGTAAACATAGTCGTGGTGGCCCGGAGGTTTAAGACGCCCTCTTCTCATGCATGAGGGTGCGGGTTCGAAACCTACCAACGGCAAGTACCAATGTGACTTTTTCCGAGTTATATATACTATCTAAGATTATTCAGACACCACTGACAAACGGTGAAGGAAAAACATCGTGAGGAAACCTGGACTTATAATTTCTAATTATAAGTTTGTAATCGCCAACCCGCATTGAGCAGCATGGTGATTAATGCTCAAACCTTCCCCGTGTGAGAGGAGGCTTTGCTCAGCAGTGGGCATTTATAGGCTGTTGATGATGATGATGAAGTAAACATAGGTTACTCGTTTTCGTAGTAATTATGTTTTTTTTTTCATTATGAATTATCCCAATAGCCAATTGACGTCTACTGCTGACCATAGTTTACTATTGTCCCTTCTCTGGACTCTGCCAAAGTTTTATGAGTTTCATAAACGAAAAATCTCTACAACAGAACAAGTTAATACTTTAGTTACCTGAGCACTGAAACAATAGGAGATCCCAGGTTCGATTGTCTTGTTTTAAACAAAGTTAACTTTTAATGTTACTTGCTACAAAACAGTATTTAGACTAAAGAGTGGCGTATGACAATAGGCTTCCTCCTTTATCACAAAACGGGTGAAACATAATTGTTATTATACCACTGACTTTCCTTTCCTTTCCTAAGACTATAAGCCAGCTTATTGCCTAAATCGGGCACTATTTCAGACTCCACGTCACTACGGAGAAATTCTGATGGGGCATGAGGTCTCGCGTTCGATTCCTGGGCCTGGCAAAGTAATACTGAGTTTAAAAGAAAATCTTAGTAGTAGCACGGAGTCTGGAATTGTGCCCGGTATATGGCAATAGGCTCACCCCCTATTACATGGGGCTCATAACATGAATAGTGAAAAGTGGGGGTATATTGTACAGTGGCATCAAGTGCCGTAATGTGCACGCCTTCGGGGATAAAAGTCGTGATGTTATTTTGCTCGACATTTGAATTTCCAACCACTCGAACTAGAGTAGATTCCACTTCCATGAAATCATCGAATCACTTCTTTCCCTAGGCTCACGCCTAGAGACTGTCAGACTCTTACTGACTAAAAATCACCCCGTTCCTACTCCTGCACGTCGAGCCGCAGCCCCGGTAACCCGTTAGGTTCTCTGCGGCTCCGAATCGGCATCAGCCCTGTTGGGCCCCATCTGTGGTGGTCTGATGTCTCTTTGAAACTCGGGTCTGTTTCTGGTGACGGGGAACCACCCATGCTCGCCATCCGCAGGCCCGCCATATAGGGTACTTTTTACAAATGGGAGCGCGGGCGAAATCGCTGGCAGTAGGTAGTTAAAAATAGTTCTATTTTATCATATAGTTGGTTTGGTAACTTCTAGAAATATAAGTATGCGGTTTATCTGAGATGAATCATCCCGGGTTACGCCGGGTTTATCCGTGTCCTGACCCGATTGTATGACATCACAGGCCCTGCCTTACTATCTGAATAATTTTTGAAATTGATGCCGATTACGTAAAATTATAATGTTAACACAATATTAAGGTTGTGTTCTTTGAAGGGCTAGGCAGGAGTATGCTTGCAGATTATTGATTTTTGGGTTTAAGTTTCTTTAAATCGTGGTGACATTACTAGAATTTTCTCCAACCGAACCCACTACTCGTTGCACGGCACTGCGCCAACCGTGGACTTAGCTCTTTACTAGTCTTTAAGGGGGGAAAATCATTGAATGACTGCTCCCGCCTGGGTGAGGCGGGAGTGTCAGTCTCTTACTGACTAAAAACCACCCCGTTCCTTCTCCTGCGCTTCCAGCCGGAGCCCCGGTAACCCGTTAGGTTCTCCGCGAAGGAGAATAGATTGGAGAATACATTATTTAGAAGTCAAACCTTGTAACCTTCATTCCCACCAAATGCTAAGAAAGTTCTACAATAAATAATACAATAACAATTATGATTGTGTACTATTAATTCGTTTTCATTGTACCAAACTACGTTTTGTTTAAAAATAAACAACGGCTTGTTTAAATAAAATAATTGTGACCTCTTCTCACAGCTGATTAAACAAGTTATTTCAATTTGGACCATACATACACACATACATAATCGAGTCACATATTATGTACACGTCGATACATAAAACAGTCGTGGTACCCCCGTATTTATATAAGTCATTATTTTTTTATAATAACATCGTGAGGCTTTCTAAGCTCATTTAGTTAAGAGCCCCTCTGTGGCTCGAATCTAGTAGAGCTTTTCTCAGTATATTCACGTGAGTTAACCCGCGATTTTTAGTTAATACTTGGACAAGTCATTTCTTTGCCCGCTTCTCACGCATGAGGATGTGGGGGTCGAAACCTTCCAACAGCAACTACCAATGTAATTTTTTCCGAGTTATATGTACTTTCTAAGATTATCTAGACACCACTGACAAACGGTGAAGGAAAACACGGTGAGGAAACTTGGGCTTATAATTTCAAATTATAAGTTTCGAGCAAGCGTGGTGATTAATGCTCAAACGTTCTACGTGTGAGAAGAGGCCGAATAATCTCCATACTTGACAGACAAGTTGGAGATTGTAGTTTAAAGTTACAGTTCACTGGACTATGGGCCTCCTCTTCATAAGAATACTTTATCACAATCTCCACGCTTGCCAAACGAGTTGGAGATTTAACATAAAATCACGACATTTTGCGTCTCTTCAATTTTCATTTCCGAGATGGTTATACATAGACATACTTACATAGGGAGCAGGTGAACGTTCCGTAGTCCCTTTGTCGTCTGAGCATTGACCTAGGTTAGGTACAGCTCCGTCTAGACCCAGTCTAGACTCCCCCCCTGCCGCCGAAACTAATTTAGGGAGAGATTATTTCAATTTTGATTTTCGCGTCTAAGATGCGATAGCTTACTAATATTAGAAATGTGAAATGCTGTGTTTCTCTGTACTGTTACTGAATCGCGTCAACGGCTGAAGGGACCGGAATGATATTTTAAACAGAGGTAGCCTATAGTCTGAGTTTTATAAAAGTAGTGTGGACTGCCTTTCTCGTCGAGTCGTTATTATTGTGATTGCTGAGATTTGATTCTTGGGTTTGGATGAAGTGCTTTTGAGATTTTCTTCGGTTTTTCCGAAAATTTGGGTAAATAGATGCGCGGTGTTTGGGTTAGTAAGATCACCCTTATAATATAAGGGATATTTTTAAATACCTCTAAAATCGTAAATCAATATTTTCTTCACAAACCGACAGAGAATCGAACTTGCTTGTCAGTTTTAAATTAAACTATTCGCACGAAATCCTACCTAGTTCGATCAAGGAATTCAACCCAATACCTCCAGCATAGGTTCTCGGATTTGCGTCCGCTGAACCAACGCTACAGGAAGTAACAAACGTTACGGTACTTCCAAAGTCCTTGAGCCCTATTTGCGCCTATCAAGGGACGCGCCCAAACCACGCTTGCGAGCACCTAATGATCTGAATCAAAGTCAATTAGGGCACTATAAAAATAACCCGTAATTTATGACTTAATACAATGACGATATGGTTTATTTTCGTTTGTGACTTTGTTTGATATTTATTTGATATTTTTGCTGTGACCATCTCTATTCTTCACGCGGGTCTCGTATACCAACGACTTAAATATGTATTTAATGGATTTCAACACCTCACATATTTAAATTAATTTAATTCAATTAATTATGTATTTTTTATTTTAACCTTCAGCCGAATTCGCTACCAGGCTCGCATGATCTAGAACAAATCTTATAAATTGATTTTAGGTAACGATAGAATAAATTGTGCCCGGTATTATGGTAATAGGTTTACCTGTGATTATAATCTTCAAATTTTTAAGAAAAGAGCATACCCCTTTTAAGGCTGCTAATGCTTTTATTTGTAACATCTCCGGTGTTGTGGGTGTCCATGGACAGCGCGGCGCTGATTGCTTACCAAAAGGTGATCGAGTGTGTATTAAAAATGTCATAATATTATGTATGTTATATTGTAACCTTCAGCCAAATTGGCTACTAGGCGCACATAATGTAGACAAGTTGTATTAAATTGATTTATTTTGTTCTTTACAGGTGAGTGCGTGAAACCCGATACGTGTGACGATGAGAAGGTAGAAAAAGAAGTAAGTTTAAACTCCTACGGTCTTATGTTCGCCTGGTACTTGTAAAATGAATTAATATTTTCTTTTGTTGGAATTATTATGGAAATTAATTAATGTCTTGTTGATTCAGAGAATTGGTTAAATATTTAATTGCCGAGAGAGCGGTTATGAGTTCGATTCTCGGATCGTGTACCTACCTACGAAAATAATTTTGGTTTAGATATTATTGACTTGTTCAAAAGGGTTTTGAGTGTGATTTCGCAATGAGTGTTGAAAACGAAGTTGTGGATTTGATGCGCGGATCATAAATGCGGCTGTCATCGAGTTTGCGAGGTCTCAACTACAATTCCTGATCATGCAAAACGGGTTCAAGATTTTTATTTCGAAGTTCTCACTTATCTTGCTCAGTGGCTACCAGCGCGACAGTCAAATTGTATTTACCAGGTTCAAAAATATCATTAACAATATCACAACGCCAGGTGTCTTAGGTTCAACCCGGGTCGGGCAAAATAATACTGGGTTTTTATAAAAAATCTCAGTAGTAGCACGGAGTCTGGAATTGTGCCCGGTATATGGCAATAGGCTCACCCCTATTACATGGGACTCATAACATAAATAGTGAAAAGTGGGTGTTACATTGTGCAGTGGCATTAAGTGCCGAATTCTGTGCCTCTGCGTACCCTTTCGGGGATAAAAGGCGTGATGTTATGTTATGTTAAAAATGCCAATAATTCTTTCCTTCGACCTCTCGTTCAACAAGGCAGGTCATATCTTTCGAAACAACATATTAAATAACCTTTCTATCTTTCGCTGCTCAAGGTCAGAATTTCAGACCAGTCAGACGGCTTTGAGAATGGTAAAAGTCGGTATTACATTTCATCATCACGCATACAGCCACGTACTGTCCACTGCCTCCGACAGTCGTCCCCCAATGGCTACACATCGCGAGCTTGGAAGCGTCGCTAACCTTTATCAGTTTTTATATTATTTGAATCGAAATTTTACCCTTTCAAAGTTTCAATATTGCCTTGTCTTGCCGTGAAGACGGCAGGCATGCCTATAGATTTTTTTAAGAAAACATCCAATGACTTCCCTCGCCTTTGGTGGCGCGAGAGAGTGTTGGAACTCTTACTGACTAAAAACCATCCTATTCCTACTCCTGTCGCGGAGAACCTAACGGGATTACCGGGGCTCCGGCTCGACGTGCAGGAGAAGGAAAAAGTGTGAAAAAAAAGTCTGACACTCCCTCCTGCCTTACCCAGGCGGGAGCAGTCATTCGATGATTTTCCCCCCTTAGAACAATAGGTTGCGCTCACCGGTGACTGCGCGGTGTTAGACAGTTTAAAAAAAAATCCTACTCCTGCGTTGAGCTGAAACCCTGGTAATCGGTTACGTTCGTCATCGTAAACCCGCTTCCTAAGCAATGCAAACTCCTCTTATGTAGAGGAGGCTCATAGACCAGCGGTAGACTATCACCAGCTGTTCCGATGGGACATTTAGTAGTCTGGAAACAAAGAAGCTAGTTATTATAATTGCGGTGTTGTAATGTGAAATATTATGATAACAATATGGTTTGTCTGCGATAATGTTGCATTATCTAACCACTGTATTATCAGGTGTCTATATAATGTAACTTCACGGTTTAAAAGGTCGTGAAGGGTAGACAGAAATGCACATTGCTAGATTCTGCTGTGACATTTCAAGTTGTAAGTTCAAAGCAATATTTCGTCTTCTTTCAGAATTGCATTTAGAATGTTTGTAAAACTACTTTTTTTTGAAGTCGATTAATAAAACAAATTTATATGTATTTTATTAGTTAGGTACTGAACTTTTAAAATAAACATGCTGTGAAATTAATAAATGAAAATTCTAATACTATCTAAGATCTAAGACATAAAATGCTCAATGAAATAACTAAAATAAAACAATATTAATATGATAGTTTTAATATGCATTACGCAATCAAAAAGTTAATTTAAACAGTTATCGCTGTCAATAACTAAATTAATTAAAAACAAAATGCACTTTTATGTTGGTCAAATTTTAAACACGCAATCGGTTTATTATAACCTTAAAATTGAACTTAAGTTAAAACACTTTTTAGTTAAACTAACTAACTGTTTATAACGTTGTTGGTTACGTCTTAACCTTGGTTTTTTCTTATAATAAAACTACGCATTGAATGAATTAATGGAAAAAAGTTATAATTTAACTGTTATTGACGAGTAAAGTACCAGGCTAGCATAAATGTGAGAGAGTGACGTCATCTTTGAAACGGTACCGAACGCTTCGGGACTGCTCGAGTTTCTTCGGGACGTTGAGAAGTACTGTTGGAAATAATTATGAAATAAATAATTTTCTTTGTAGCGCGAATTCGTCTGTTAATGGACCGTTTATTCAATGATTGGATTTTTTTTAAAGTAGGTAAAATTATTATTTGCTTATAAATTGTAGGAAAATCTATGCCATTTAAAACTCGTAAACGCGTCGTCAGATTTTAATACATTTTCACACATATAAAATTCAAAAACTCTTTTTCAAAGTTAACAAATTAAATCCCCATCAACATTTTTTTTTCGGTGATAAATCCACGGGGTATTAATTAGCAACAATCACCGTGACTTCGCGTTGACATTTAAAGCGTGACTCAGCTACCGAGTACTAGGGCACCATAATTAAGTGACGTCATTTCTATTTATTTATACTACGTTTGAAATACGTCATACTGTTTTGTTCTACCGTCTGATCATTTACAACATCTGATTGCCTGGTAGCTCATAATTAGTACTCCAATGTCAAAGTTAGAATTTATTTTATTTAGACCAACGTAGACACTAAGTATATGTCTGTCAGTCTGTTCTTTAGTGAAGCTCTTTGCTTGTTACTTAATATACCAGCCGTTCTGAAAGTTGAGGGAGGCCTATGTTCAGCAGTGAATGTCTGATGGCTGGAACGATGAATTAGCTCTTTCCAAAGTGCAGATTCCTATGGAGTTCTTCACGAGCAAGAAACTTTATGGCTATCTTTTTCAATCAATTTTAGAATCGATTAGGATTCGATGTTTCAATCGATTTAAAGCAACCAAGGTGTCTTCGATCCTCGATGCAATTTAGTTGTACATTTTTTTATATATTTTAATTACTATATCAATGACCTTGTCTCCTCTCCTAGTTATTTTTATATAAATCTTTTTGAATTTATATCACGTTGTCTAGAATTATGATTAGAATATAGGAATAGGCTCGCACCCCTATTTCAACCTGTTGGTGTTACTATTAAATTATGGGTACTATTAATAAATCTATGTTCGAAGGTACTAATTCTAAAACTATAATCGAAAATTATTAATACACGTTCATTTGAAATCGTGATCGGCTTTACAATCGGTGCCAAGGTTCGAATCTAGTGTTGCGTCAATTCCTTTTACGCACGCTTTACTAGCGCTGCACGTGAATCGATTTTTTTACCGATTACTTTGTACAGAATCGATTATTTTATGTGTTGCTTAATATTTGAGAATGGGTTAGGAGAGTTATTTTTTGGTTTTAGATATTCGAAATCTTCGGTTTTATATAGTGCATCTACATGAAGAAATGAATATGTTTAAAGTATAGTACATGAAAGTAATCTAATTTACTAAAGTCTTGTTCAAGAGTTGTCAGTTTCTATTTCCTGGTTAGGCAAATAATTAAGATAATTTTCGTGTTTTAGAATATTCTCAGTAATAGCATGTTTCCACGTTGTGTATGTCAATAACTAGTTTGACGTGGTTCTTACATTGTAAATGTACACTTCTGTCTATCTCTTCTATAACTAAAATGAAGGATTTTATCAAGAAACAAATTTATAACATGACATAACATCAGGCCTTTTATCCCCGAAGGGTGCACATTATGCCATTGTATAATGTAACACCCACTTTTCACTATTTATGTTATGAGTCCCATGTAATAGGGGGTGAGCCTATTGCCATATACCGGGCACAATTCCAGACTCCGTGCTAATACTGAGAATTTTTAAAAACCCAGTAATACTTTGCCCGACCCGGGAATCGAACCCGAGACCCTTGCCCGGCAGTCGCACTTGTGACTACTCGGCCAACGAGGCAGTCACGAATGCTATAATACGAAACAAATTCAATTTGTATTATAAGTTAGGTGAGATATACTGACATGAATTCTGACCAAAAATAGTCTCTATTTTCAACCTTCGAATCTTTTTTTGCCCATATAAGGGCCTATATCACAAAATAACTTGTCCAAGCTTAATATACGCCTGTCCCTTAAGTGTCAAAGGGTTTTTAGGTCAATAGGCATATTATCAGTTAATTAATGACAGCTATTAACACGTGCCAGCTTATTAGTGATGTGAAAAGGTCAAAAATGACATCGATGATAACAAAAATAGTAATCGATATTGCTTATATCGATTAATCGGTTTTTTTTGCATGAACCGATTTTATAACTTGCTTGTTCTTAAAAAATAATTAAACATAATGCATAACATCACACCTTGATGGCTCGAATGGATATACAGAAGCGCACCTAATAAATAAAACAATTCAAAAGGTGTTTGTATAAATAACAGAAATTAAGATTATTATTCATTTGAATCTTAAGATTTGTATTGAGAAGAGCGAGCAAGAAACTCCATGGTTACTCTTTTTATTTGCTTGTCTTCGTTATAAATAGAAGCCGTTCAATATTGAATTTCTTACACGTTCCCTTCAAATATAGATTTTTCTATATTAGGCATGAGTTTCAATGAAAGGACGAGCTATTAGTTATTTTTGTTATGTAGATTTTATGGAAGTATCTGTAGATTATACTAGATATTACCTAATTTTTGTTGTTTTTTTCTGCACTCTCATACATCAAATTGATAACATAACTAAAACAGCTATTATATTTAACATAGGTATACCTTTGAGAAAACGACTAAACCAGTCGTATGAAATAAGGTAATCTTCTTTGTACTTCAAATAATACAAAACATTGTATAGAAAGGTTTTCGTGCCGTGT